AAAAGAAAAATGGGGATTTCGCTAAGCATTAGGAGATCCTTTCCCCATTCCTCAAGTTAGAATTAGAGGAGCTAGTTCATCTGTGCTGATGCCTTAATACTGAGTTTCGGGCTGCCTGAGACCAGACTGGGGATATTGGAAGCAAACAAATCATAAATTTATCACCAGTTCAGGGTATTTGAATTCTGGTCTTCTCCAATTTATCTGATATTATTTACTTCTCAGGGATCTCAAACAGCTGTTCCACGCATTCTGGTTTATTCAAGGTGCATTTTGGTGAGAAAGCTTATTTTTACTGCCCTAAAAATCCTCTGTGCTCTGCTGATTTGTATCCCCTGCCCTCGGCAACCACTCCCCCCGCCCCCAACTGTCTCTACAGTTTTGCTTTCTCCAGAATGTTATATAGCTGGGATCACAGTGTGTAGCCTTTTCGGATTAGTCCTTTCACTTAGTAATATGTGTTCAGTTTCCTCCATGTCATTTCATAGCATCAGAGTTTATTTCTTTTCAATAATATTCCATTATGTGGATATACAGACCATTTATTTTAATATAGTTATCCATGTTTGAATGTCTACCATCATACTTTTCTTTTTTTTTTTTTTAATTTTATTATTTGACAGAGAGAGAGAGCAAGCGAGCCAGAGCGAGCACAAACAGGGGGAGTGGCAGAGGGAGGAGGAGGATCCCCAGCAAGCAGGGAGCCCAATGCTGGGCTTGATCCCAGGACCCTGGGACCAAGACCTTAACTGACTGAGCCACCCAGGTGTCCCATACCATTTGTTTTCTATTTCTTTATGATTGTATCTTCTTCTTCTTCTTCTTTTTTTTTTTTTTTTAAGATTTTTTTAATTCTTTTGACAGACAGAGATCACCAGTAGGCAGGGAGGCAGGCAGAGAAAGAAGAAGGGAAGCAGACTCTCCTCGGAAGAGAGCCCGACTTGAGGTTTGATCCCAGGACCCTGGGATCGATCATGACCTGAGACGAAGGCAGAGGCTTTAACCCACTGAGCCACCCAGGCACCCCGATTGTATCTTCTTTTGAACCAAATCTTTTCTCGAGATTCCATTTCATCTTCACTACTAGCTTATGAGTTATATTTTGTGGCTTAATTAAATTTTTTTTTTAACTTGTTCCTCTGGTGTTTACAATATACATATTTATCATGGTTTACCATTAAATCAGTTCATGTGCAATGTAAAAACTTAATACATTTCCATTTTCTCATTAATTTTTTTGATCACTGCCATACATTTTATGTCTCTGTTTTGAAACCTGTAATATATTATTTTTGCTTTAAATTATCTTTTACAAAATTAAAAAATGAGTAAACAAAGTCTTTTTTTTTTTTTTTTTTTACAAAGTCACACATTTACCATTTCTGACATTTCCCATTCCTTCGTTCAGATTCCACTTGGTGATATTTTCCTTTCACTTGAGAAGCTTACTTTATCTTGTATTGACAATCTGCTGGAGATGAATTCTTGCAGTGTTTTTCTTCTGGAAGAGTTTTATTTAGGCTTCATTTTTGAAATACATTTATTCTAAATATAGAATCTAGATTGACAGTTTCTTTTAGCACTTTGAAAATCTCATTTATCATCTGGCTTACATAGTTTCTGAAGAATATTCTGATATTATTCTTTCTTTGTTCCTCTGTTTCATTTTTCTCTGGTTCATGTTAAGACTTTTGATATTATTATCACTATTTATTGGCAATTTGTTTGTGATATGTCTTGGTGTTGTTTTCTTTGTACTGAGCTTACCTAGGGTTCATTGAATTTCTTCAACCTGTGGGTTATACCTTTTATCAAATGAAAGAACATTTGGCCATTATTGTATCTTCAAATATATTTTCTGTCCCTGCTTCTTTCAGGGACTTTTTATCACATTTAAATTAGTGTGCTTCATATTTTCCCACTGGTTACTGTGGATATGTTCATTTCTTTAAAAAGTCTTTTTTCCCTCTCTGTGCTTCATTTGGATGTATTTTATGCTGCATCTTTAAGAACACTGACCTTTTTTTCTGTTAATTGCATCGAATGGCATTTTCACTTCAGATACTCTAATTTCCATCTCTAGAAGTTCTATTTGGATTTTAAATATCTTCTCATATAACAGCAGTTATGTTTCAATATGCTTGTGTGCTTATTTCATTTCTGGATCTGTTTCTTTCGATTGACATTTCGATTGACATGACATTAGGCCATGATGAATTTTATGTTGTTCAGTGTTTTTTGTTTTCCTTTGTTGCCAATAAAGTTACTTTGGTCCAGTTTTTTTTTTTTTTTTTTCTCTTTCTTTTTTCTTTTTTTCTTTTAAGGCTTGTTTTTAAGCTTTGTTAAGGAACATGCAGGTTAGCCTTTAGTTTAGGGATAGTTTATTCCTACTATGAAGCTATGGTTCTTCTGGACTGAAGAGAGTCCACAAGGAGTCCCCACTCTAGCTGGTTGAAACTCAAATACCCAGAGCTACATGGAATCTCTGGGAACTGTTTGTTCACAGCTGCCTCAGATGTTTTGCTTGACCTCAGGCATTTCATCCTACTTCCATGCATCTTAGTACTCATCTAAAACTCAAGGGGCAAAAAACCAAACCAAACCAAACAAAAACAAAAACCAAAAAAACTTAAGGGGGCATTGTGTGTAGATTTCTGGAGGCTTTTGCTGATTAGCATGTCTTCTTTAGTACTCTGCCTAGCAACTTCTGCTTTCTACTCACTAGTACTACCACCAGTGGTTTAGGAGGGTTTTAAAAAAAACCAAAAAACAAAAAGGTGTTGTATTTCCTTATATAATCCCTTCTTTATACTATCATAGCTGAGAAGGACCACATTTTCCTTACTTTGAAATTTCCCTTTTAAGTTTTTCCTGGTTGTATTTTAGGGGATTCCAAAATTTTGTGGTGTACTGGTCTTACTATTTAAATATAAGCACATATACAATGGCAATGAAAGAAATACACAATGTAGACAAGGCAATATTAAAATCATAAATCTCCACAGTATTCTGAAAAAGCTGAATCAGTTACTCTAAGGATTACTGGGTAATAAGTAGTTAGGATTTCAAAATTTCACTAGAATAAAATAATATTTTGTTGTAATTAGGTAGGAGAAAATTCAAATGCTATCTTAAATCTCTCTCAAGATTTAAACATGAATGAATTAGCACTACCTTTAAAATTTAGCACTAAGATAATAAAATGGGAACTGTGAAGAAAGCAACATTTTCAAGTTTCCAAGTATCAATCCAAATACCAAAGCTATACAAAACCCAACCAAACAAAAACAAATGAAAATATAATAAAATTTCATTTGTGCTCATCACACTTCAGTTTTGCTGTGCTCAAGCTTTTTGGAGAAAGAGAAAATGAGACCATCAAGGTTTTATTTCCATAGCACTACAATCTTAAAGTGAAAACATGACAACAAGGTGCTGCTTTACTCTAATAGTGTTTATGTGCATCTACCAAATGCACCAACAGGGAAATCAAACTATACCTGAGTTTTATGGAATATTTGAAACATATAGAGAACAGTATAATGACCACCCAGACCCACCACTCAAGTTTTGTCAAATCTTAACATTCTCCCACAGTTCCCTCAATTTCTAAAAGGAATAATTCAGGTCTATGACACTGAATCCCCTTCAAAGCCTTCCCTGATCCTATTTCTATTCTTCTGCAGGGGCAGCCACACTGAATTCCCCAGTTATCATCTTTAAGTATTGCTTCTTACTTTGACTATGTGTGTTTGTATAGGAAACTGTTTCACAGGTCTTTAAACTCCATATAAACAATGTAATGTAGGAATCACTCTAACTTTTTTTTGCTTAATGTTGCTTCTGATATTCACAAATACATGACTAATCTGTTACAGAGATTTTACTGTATGCAACTATCATATTTATCTATCTTCTGTTAATGGACATTCAAGGTGCCTCCAATTTTTCACTTCTACAAACCATACTGTTGTCAAGATTGTTGTAGACAGGCTGCAGGGGAGACTGTTCAGAATACATCCCTAGAAAAAAACTGTGGTTTTAGCGATGGATACTTATACATCTATACTTAACTTGAAGGTAGCAAACTGTTCTCTAAAGCTGTACCAATAAAGACTATCAGCAGAAGAGTATACAAGTTCCATTTGGCTACATGATTGCAGGTACTTGGCCTTGTTAAATTTTATGTTTTTTTTTTTTTTTTTTCCCTCTAGTGATGGATAAAAAAGTCTCTTACATAGTTTTAATTGGCCTCTCTCCCTGAGTTCCTAGTGATTTTGAGTTTCTTTTCGTGGAAGTTTGTTATACATTCAGGCTTCATATAGTCAGAAAGCTTTCTGTAAAGGTGGGGGAGGATAACTTATATGTAATAAACAATTTAAATAATAGAGATTCCACAGTCAAATTCTAACTTTTGGAGCTAAGGATATAGGTACGTAAGAACTCTAGGTGCTCATCAGAGTGAGCAATCGATGAGGTGCAAGACAGAAGAACGCAGAATTGGGCCAGTCCTTGAGCACCATGTAAGATTTGAGCGGGTACAGACTGGGGAGAGCCCTCTAGACACATATACTGAACACTGTAACTACTGAATAGCATTTTTTTAAATTTACACTTCACCTCTATCAGTGATATTTCTCTTTAGTCACTTTGGAAGTGAAAGCATTTTTACTTATATTTGCAACTTAATATATACTACTAGTTAATACTTAAAGAAAAGTTGTCAGAATTACTTTGTGGTACTCAAAATAAAAGCTACATATTAAAGCATATTTTAACTGGCAGGAATTATAAATCTAATCTAAATAAGAGTTTTCTTTAAATCACTACTTTATTGAAATGATATATCACCTAAAATTTATGTAGCTCTAAGAAAATCTTATCTTACTAGCATGTTGCATTGTTTCAAAGACAGTGGGCATAGAAAAAGTCACTGTAGAATGAAGGAATAATGTTTACTTCAAAAAGAGTAAGACATTTCTCTCCCTTTTCTTTCTCACCTGCTTTAACGGAAAATGGCTTTTCCAATAGAAATATTGTTTGTTTCCAGTGTGTTCTGGCACTCTGGGGGCCCGTGGAGAACACGACCTGCATTGGTAAGAGTTCAAAAGTATCTGATGAAGTACAAGATTTTTAATATCATGCTACATTAATCTACTACATCAAATACAAGCTCCGATTGCTTACAACAGCAAAAGGCTTATGATCAAACACCTTGGGGCACAAAAATAAAATATAATGTATTTCACATAATTAATTCTTATGGGAAAATTCATGATACTTACCCTGCTGTGACAATTTTTCTCAAAATATATATCAAAGTAGCCAGCAATTGCCTGTTTAAAAAAAATAAATAATTATTAAACTAATTACATGACATAACAATTATTCAGTCTTTCAAGATAATGGCAAAAAGAAATCATTTCAAAGAATAGATACCTCTTATACTTATGACAGGTCACTATTACCTCCTGGAAAAGATGTTACACGTGAAAATGAAGTCATATAATTTGGCTTTCCCCCACAGAAACAATATAATAATAAGGGCAACAAGGCTAATCAAATAACCAATATGTGTTTTATTAGAGAAATGACTGTGGTAGACTACTGAAAAGTGAGAGACCACATGAAGGAAGAAGCCTCAGCCAGCCCCAAGAGCTGACCCATGGTCCCAAAGACAGCCTGCTGTGCAGGCGGGAGCCATCTTGGAGCTCTCTGCTCCAGTCAAACCAGACAACTGCAGCAGCCTGAGAGACCTGGGGAGAAACCAGCAGAAGAACTAGAGGACAAGTCCAGTCCGGACTGCAGAATCATACACAAATAAATCTAAATGATTGTGACTTCAAGGTACTTGGTTTTAAGGTGGTTTGTGACACGGCAATAAATTTAACTTAAACATACTCTTTTATACAAAGATCTCATTTAATTTCTTCTGATCTTGTGCATCTAATTTTAAAGCAAAGTACTATGAATAGTTTTGTAATGAGAGCAACAGAATTTTTAAATGCCACTTTTTTGCTGAAGATAAACTAAAAATATATAATAGTACTCAAATAAAACATATGTTTAAGCAAATACCCAAAGGAGAACCTCTGAGGTAACTCTAAGTGTTACTGTGATAGTATAAAACGGTCTCTAAAAGACAAATATTCAGATGAGGATATGTGATTTTCATTTCTTTTTAAAATTTAAATGATACCATCCCTTTTTCTTTCACTAACAGCATTAGGTTTATCTATTTTTAAAACTGGCATTAAAAAATAGCTTATAAGGTATTAAAAATAGGACACTAATTATTGAAAAATCACTATAAAGCTAGCTAATTTGTGTACTCTGCTGCTTTTGTTGAGAATGTGAACTTTTATTGATCTGTGAGGTTAATATGGATTGGGCCCAAAACAAGTTCAATATTTAACACTGAGGTTCATTACATTTTAGATACCAAGAGAGAATCAAAATACTATTTATAATTCTATCAAACAGACAAAATATAAAACAATGTAGTACTCAGGTACAGATTATTATAGAAAACTATGTAGTTACTCAGAACATTTCTAAAACATGACTTCTATCAGTTGATTTCCTGGTACTTCATAGACTAATTCAACTATTTTCTTAAATTTATTCCTGTATGCCAGTCTTGTTCACCAGTGTCCAGAGCAGTGCCTGGCCCATAGTACACAATAAATATTTGCTGAGAGAATGTGCTTGTTATATACAATTCTATTATAGAACTTACCATACTACTTATAGTTAATTGTGCTATCAGACTATAATGTGTGTGTGTGTTTTTAAAGATTTTATTTATATTTGTCACAGAGAGTGAGCGAGTGAGCACAAACAGGGGGTGCGGCAGGGAGAAGAAGCAGCAGGCTCCTGGCTGTGCAAGGAGCCCCATGTGGGATGGGATAGGATCCCAAGACCGATTCCAAGACCGTGGGATCATGACCTAAGCTGAAGGCAGTCGCTTAACCAACTGAGCCACCCAGGCCAGGCGTCCCAGACAGCAATGTTTGTTTTAAAAACAAAGCCTATGTGTAATTCATATTGTTGTTCTCCTTAATTTGCATAGGTCTCTCATGTAGCACGTTCTCAATACATTTCAGTTAAGATTTTCAGTTTTCAGTTTCTTAAATTCAGCTAGTCTTACTATGTTGTCAGGACACTTTATGAAATCAGTGAATAGCCAGACTTAGAACTTATAATTTTCAACTGAAAAACTGAATGGGGAGGAGGAGAGGAACCCTACTTTGTAGGGACCCGAAAAAGTCTCAACCACTGGCAAGGCCTTGAAAATCTCCAATCAACAAAGATCTCCAGAACATAAGAGAGATTCGAAAAAGCTGTACGAGTTAGACTAATCACTAATCAGGGTATGTGTAGAAGAGCCCAAAACACTACAGCAAACGTTTAAAGAACTAGACTGAGATGTGAACCACTGCCCGCCCAGACACGGTTGACAGGGCTTATGTTTTGGCTTTAACTGGGTTGACTGCCCGTTCACACCAAACACCAACAACATCCTCTAGATAATTATAACAGGACCGACAGTACGCATGACATAACACGCACAACATCCAGAAAACAATCCAAAATTATTCAACACACAAAGAACCAGGAAAATGTCTTTAAGAAAAGAGATAATCCACAAATGCCAACTGTGAGATGACCCAGAAGCTGGTACTATGAGACAAAAACTTTAAAACAGAATTATAACCGTTATGAGGCAACAGAAATGGGGTTATAGAAAACACACTGAAATGAAATGAAAGAAATTCTTGTAGAGAAAAAGAAACTACTAAATAAATGAAAGAATGAATGAATGAATAAATAAATAAATAAAACTAATGGAAGTTTTAGAATTAAAAAATGTAATAACCAAAATAAAAAGCTCCCCGGGCTGAACTGCAGAATGGAGATGACAGGGAGAAAAAAAAAAAAAAAATCAGTGAATGTGAAGATAGGTCAATAGAAAGTATCTAATTTGAAAACCCAGCAGAAAAAGATTGAAATACAATGCAGGAACCTCAGGGGCCTGTGCAACTAACATACAGGTAAATGGAGGTCCAGATGGAAAAAAATATAGGAGCGTGAAAAACCTTTCAAAATTCTATATCCAGCAAAAATATACTTCAGGAATGAAGGCAAAATAAAGACATTTTCAAGTAAAGGTAAACTAAAAGAATTCATTGCCAAAAAACTTTAGAAGAGATGTTAGGGGCGCCTGGGTGGCTCAGTGGGTTAAAACCTCTGTCTTCAGCTTAGGTCATGATCCCAGGGTCCTGGGATTGAGGCCTGCATCGGGCTCTCTGCTCAGGGGGGAGCCTGCTTCCTCCTTTCTCTCTGCCTGCCTCTCTGCCTACTTGTGATCTCCGTCTGTCAAATAAATAAATAAAATCTTAAAAAAAAAAAAAAAAGAAGAGATGTTAAAGGCAGTTCTTCAAGCTGGTGAGCAATACTGGGAGGAAACCTGAAACATTAAAAGAAAAACAACAGAAATGATCAACAGTTTAAGTATAAAAGATTACTTTTTCCCTCAGAATTTCTTTAAAATACTTATGATTTTTTAAGACAAACATGATATAACATCATTTGGTGGGGTTTTCCATGTATGCAGATGTAATCACAAAGATCAGGGGGATGGGTGGTTAGGAGGAGGAAGAGTAAAATCCCACCAACATATATAAATGTTTATAAAACTGGGATGTGAAGAAGGCTTTCTAAGCATCACACATAGGCAGAAACTTAAGAGAAGCTTAAAACTTTAGTAACAAAGCCATAATGAGATATTACCTTACACATGTCAGAATTGCTAGAATCAAAGAGGCAAGAAATAACAAGTGTTGATGAGGATGTGAAGAAAAAGGAATACTTGGCTGTTAGTGGGAATGGAAACTGGTACAGCCACTATGGAAAACAGTCTGGAAATTCCTCAAAAAGTTAAAAACAGAAATATTATATGATCAAGTAATTCCACTGGGTATTATACAAGAAAACAAAACCGCCAATTTGAAAAGATACATGCACTCCTATGTTTATTACAGCATTATTTACAATAGTCAAGATACGGTAGCAACCTAAGTGCCCGTTGACAGATGAATGGATAAAGAAGATGTGGTACATACAAACACTGAAATATTCAGTCATAAAAAAGAATAAAATCTTGCTATTCACAACAACATGGATGGGCCTAGAAGTTACTATGCTAGGTGAAATAAGTTAGAGAAACACAAATACCACATGATTTCACTTATATGTGGAATCTAAAACAAAACAAAAAAAACCAAAACAAAAACAAAACAAAAAACCCCCAAAAACAAAGAAACAAACAAAGAAAACCCACTCTTTTTTTCTAAAAGATTTTATTTTTTTATTTGAAAGAGAGAATGAGAGAGAGAAAGTATGAGCAGGGAGAAGAGCAGAGGGAGAAGCAGGCTCCCCGCCAAGCAGGGAGTTTTGGTGTTGTACACCCAAAACTAGTATGACACTGTATGTTACTTATACTTTCATAAAATAAAATTTTAGTGTCAAATTAAAAGATGAAGAAATTTGAGAGTATTTGCAATAATTATATATATATGTATATATATATGTATATATATATAAAACAAAGGGACACTGTCTTTTTTTACATTAAGCTACAACAAATTAGTAAGAAAACCATGTCAAAAGAAATTAGAAAACAAAGCAGGAAATTTATAAAAGAAAAATCAAATAATAAGCATAAGTAAAAGATGTTTGACCTACTTAGAAAAATAAGTAAACTAAAATAATCAGGTACGATTTTCCTTGATCACGATGGGGAAAACTTTTTTTTTTTTGGAACTTTTTTTTTGGAAGATTTTATTTATTTGACAGAGAGACAGGTCACAAGTAGGCAGAGAGGCAGGCAGAGAGAGGGAGAGAGGGAAGCAGGCTCTCAGAGAGCCTGATGCGGTACTCGATCCCAGCACCCTGGGATCAGATCCTGAGCCGAAGGCAGAGGCTCTAACCCACTGAGCCACCCAGGTGCTCCGGGGAAAACATTTTTTAAAAGATAATATCCATAGTTAGTGGGGAAAGTAGCATGCATACTGGGAAAATAAACTGAAATGACCTTTCTAGAGGGAACTTAGCAATACATAATAAAAGACAAAACATCTGTATTAAAAAGTAGTCACAGAGAAAATGGTACACACGCTATGATTCGATCTACATATAGAATATTCAAAAACAGCACAATTTACAGTGTTGTAAGTCACAATAGTAATTACCCTTCAACAGCGGTAGAAACTAGAAAGGGGTTACACGGAGGGCTCCTGGGCTGCTGGTAATATTCTGTTTCTTCAGCTGACTG